AATAATGAAAAATAAAATAAAAGAGGAAGCTGAAGGTAAAAAAACTGAAAACTGAAAACTGAACATTGCGAGGGCTGCATAACCAGCCCCGAACTGAAAACTGTCAACTTACTCGCTCATAATTTGGCGCTCTACGCTCACTTTGTTCACTGCAATCTCCAATGGCGTCTCGTTCTCCCAAGGCGTCTCGCTCTCCTTCTTCTTCGTCTTCTTCGCCGAAGACGCCTTCGATGGCGAAGAGGCTGCTCGAGGACGACCTCAACCTTGCCCGGAGGCTCCGCATCCACTCCAACAGGGAGGCGGTCTTCGTCAAGTTCACTCCCTTCGCCGTTGCTCTGGCTGCCGGGAACTTGAGCCTTGACTCCTTCCGGCATTTCATCGCCCAGGGCAAGAACTTTCTCAAAGCGTTCGCTCAAGCGTAAGTCCTCCTAGTCCTCGATCGCCTTCTCTTCTTTCTTCCCCTGTCCGTTGTTTTAGTTGGTGGATTCTTCATCTTGGTTGTGTTGATTGTCGTAGTTGAAGATGAGTGCCCGATAACATGATCTCAAGAAGTTATGGCATGACCCTTTCGATTCTGTTGCAATGCGAGTCCTCTTGTCAATCTTCTTTCTTCTCTGTTCATTGCTAGTTCGAAGATTCTTGTTTTCGGATGCATTGATGGTTATACAAATCAAAAGATCAGTGCATGACACGATCTTTACACATTATGTTACGATGCTTCTGACAATGCATTGCGGTGCAATGCGGGTCTATCAGGTGGCCCATTGGTCATATTGGTATGGGTTTTGCCTCTCGCAGAAATTCAAATTGAACGTCACCGATTCTTGCTTTAGATATCTGAAATTAGGATGGCATGCAATTATAAGTGACGATTAGTTTCTATTTTGATCTTTATCTCATCTCCCCACATTTGTCAGGTATGAATCCGCAGCAAACGATACGGATGATGAATATGCGGAATGCAAATTGTGGGAGTTAAGAAAGATGGTTTTGAAGGATATGAAAAAGCATGACTCATTCATGCAGGTAAGAGCGAGGCCATTCTGTTTATCAGAGGACAAGGGAGAGTGAGGCCATGCTTGTTTTGTTCCCTTTAAATGCATAATTCAGTTTGAAAGAAATTTCCGGTTAAAAAACAAGGATAAAAATCAAAGCAAAATTGCTAATTTAACATCACGGTAGAGTGAAGTTCTTTTTCATGATTTCTTCGGTTTTCTTTGCACGGCTAAAGAAATTGTTGTGTTAGCACGGTTGATAGCAGAGCGAAGTTCCTGTTGTTACATAACTGTATTAGGGAGGTATTCCAACGAGTAGATTATTTACACTTGCAAGCAGCACGCCGCATCGCCAAGATTCTCTCTGAACAACTCATGCTTTGAAGCCTCGTTTACTTGACGTTGTCAAAACTTGAAATTAAATACAATATTTTGATGAATTTGCCGATGAAGAAAACCTCTGCCCAATTGAATGTCAGTTCAAATCAACTACAAATTTAATGTGCATAGTGTGATCATCATCCTTCAATGACATTTCTTCTCTTCTGTGCTTCAGTGGTTTTAGCAATGTGCATGTTAGTCCAAAATTACTCTCAAACTTCTTTTAGTTACCTCATAATATACATAAGCCATTGAATTCTGTTTACTACTCATTGTGTCATGGCCATGTTTATGCTTTCTGTCATTGTTTCCCGCAAGTGCTCTACCGATGAACTCATAATGTATCTCTCTTTATGAACAGGGATGGGGTTTAGACGTTACCAAAGACGTCACACCCGATTCTGTAACGGCGAATTGTACTGAATTTTTACTGGCTGTGGCTTCTGGTAAAGTTGATGAAGCAAAAGGTGTTGTTAGACTAACAACTCCTTTTGAGAAGACAATCGCTGCAATTTACACTGTTGGTACCCTAACACCTTGCGTTCAACTATACCCTTTTTTGGCTGCGGAGCTCCGGATGTTGCTAGGTCTTAGGGAAGATAGTCACCCTTATAAGAAGTGGATCAAAATGTATACATCTGATAGTCACCAGGTTGGTCTCATTTGATTTTCAGCATCAGTTTCAATCCTGTTATTCTTTGCTTATTCCGAGGAAGTGAAAACATAATCAGCAAAAAGCAGAAATTGTCGTTACTAAGAGTTCATCCATTCTTTTCTTTGATTCAGGAATTGGCCGTGAAAACTGAAGAGTTGCTGGAGAAACTGTCTGTTACCTTGACAAGAGATGAGATCGATGTTCTTTACAACTTGTATCATCAAACAATGATCCTTGAAATAGACTTCTTCAATTCTCAACCATTTGCTCAGCCCACAGTAGTTCCTGTGATAAAGGGACTTAGCTCTGCAGAAGATCGGTTGATGTTTCTTTCTGATTTTGATCTGACTTGCACAGTTCATGATTCATCAGCAATTTTGGCAGAGATGGCCCTAGTAACTGCTCCAAAATCTGATTGTAGTCAATCCGGATCTGATTGTAGTCCATCTGAGAGTCCTCTTGTTCGGATGTCATCGGGTGACCTGCGAAATATGTGGGAGGAAATCTCCAACAAGTACACTAAAGAATATGAAGAATGCATTGAAAGTATTATTCCAGCTGAAAAAGGTAAGCACGCTATGAATTGAATTATGCTCTGAAACTAGAACTCCACGACATCAATGCTAAATTCTCTGAACTCAACACCATGAGATGAGTGCTGAAGAGTGTCTGTTAAATAGGAGGGTGTTTGATCATTTTGTCCAGTGGTATCTGATCTTGATTTTCCTATCTCCTGTAGTGGAATTTGATCATAGTTTGCTGGTCCAAGCGCTTGAGCAAGTGGCAGATTTCGAGAAAAGGGCGAATTCCAGAGTTATTGAATCCAGGGTTCTTAAAGGTCTGAAACTTGAAGACATAGTAAAAGCTGGTGAAAGCCTCAATCTTCAGGATGGTTGTATTAGTTTCTATCAGAAACTCACCAAGATTAATGTGGATGTTAACGTTCACATGCTATCGTACTGCTGGTGTGGTGATCTTATTCGGTCATCTCTTTCGTCAGGTGTGCTCCACGAAACTTTTACATTCAAGTGACATTTCAATTTCCTCTAATTGCATTCTCGTTGCACCCTTGGACATGTAAAACACAACTTATCAATCGTATGACCTGAAAAAGATAGTATTTCTTAAGAACCTACAATGAATCATGTGAATCACTGATGATTCTTCTGGCTTTTGATGCTTTGATGAATGTGCTAGCATGGTTTGTGGCTCTATTCTGCTTCATTTCTCTTGAGTTAAAGCATTCTGTCCTAGAGAGGACCTGATGTCATCTTTTAGGCCCGAACTTTAGTCTTGTAGGTCGAGCGATTTGTCCTGATGCAATGTAGGAAAGAAGCAGAGAGTAACTGCAAATGTCCCTTAATATGTGGGGTAACTCGCAAATGTTGCCATTGTGCAGTGGTGACTAAACAGAAACAATAAACATGTGAATGAGGACCATGTAGATGTTCCCAAGCATAGACTATGGACATTAATAGGACGTGGTTTAATCTTAGTCGATCTGATACACATTTCCTTTGCTCCACAGCTGCACCTTTGGTGTTTCTGATAAGGTTCATGTAAATGTTTTGCCACTTGAAGAATAGGGAATATATATCTATCTAATTTTCTTATTTTGATGGGAAGCAGTGGGTTTCGATCATTCAAATGTCCACGCGAACGAGTTGATATTCAATGAGGAGCTTCTGTGCACCGGAGAAATGGTTCGGAAGGTCGAGTCCCCCATTGAGAAGCTCCAAATATACAACAGCATCATGAAGGACCACGCCGACGAGCGAAACAAGTTAACTGTCTACGCGGGCGACTGTGTCGGAGACATACTGTGCCTGCTCGAAGCGGATATAGGGATAGTGATAGGGTCGAGTGAAAGCTTAAGGAGGGTGGGGAGCCGATTCGGAGTGACTTTCGTCCCGCTTTTCGCGGCCACGGTCAGGAAGCAGAAAGAAGTCACTGATGGGGGCTCTCTGAACTGGAAGGGAGCAAGGTCGGGAGTCCTCTACACGGTCTCTTGCTGGGCCGAGATACATGCTTTCTTGTTGGGGTGGTAGGACACTGTTGTCTCACTGGGCACAGACAAACATTAGAAGATAGAACGTGTACAGATCTTATGCACGACAGTTTTCTGCAGAGCTTAGAGAAGTTCGGTTTGATGCATGTACGGATTAGACAGGCATTTCACTTGATCAAGTCATGATTTTGGCGAGGCAATTGTGTTGGCTGAAGTTGTCTTGTTAGTGAATGGCCCTAAAAAAATGCCAAGCAAATTAAGTTAATCTTTCGACCAAAACAAAAATTTAAGTTAATCTCATAAGTTTGTCTATTAAATTTGTCAACAACAAAATTAGGTTATCACACAAAATCTATTATGGATTCCAAATGTAAATAAATCTTCCTCATTTTGGAATTTTTTTAAATCAATTTGTTGAAATAACTCGTATTGCTTTTTTATTCTTTATGAAAAAGACCCGTGAATGTGCGCTTTTTTTTTTTCTTTATCTTTTGCCAATAGTTAGATAAGAGAGTATGCACTTTTTATGCGAAAAAGATGGAATTTTTTACATGTACTCAAAAAGAAAATCCATTGATTAGAGTTTGAAATATTATGGGCTCAAAGTGACTTTTTTTTCTTGAATTTCAGAGATTTCGTGAATCTCTTTGTAAACTTACAGGTCACAACTTTATCCCTTGAACTCGATATATAATGAGGATTCTTTTTCGGGAAAATCTTGGGGTGGAAAGTAAGGATGAATTGACTACACAAGTATCACATATCAGTAAAAACCAATGTTAATTATTCGTGTTATTGTCCCGTGCTAAAATGCATTCACACCGTCAGATCTGGTGCGTTCCTTGTGGCCCGATCGAAACATAGGTGGTCCGGGATACAATTTAGCACATCATGTAAATGAGTTTCCCGCTCTTTGCACGGGGGGAGAGTCTCCCATCGTGGGGTCCTGTTGACGACAAAAGTCAGGAAACGTCGGAGTACTGCGGAACATTCTCAGCATGAACCCCGCTAGAACCAGACGATGGTCCTAACGTTAGCCATCGGCAGAGCCCGAGCTTCTCCTTCAGAAGAAGTTGGAATGGAGGAGGGTCCATCGAGCGGCAAAGAGGACGGCGGCGCTGGCGTTTCGGAGCTGCCGGCCGGCAACTTGAGAGTTGCTTCCGGCGACCCCAACTTGTCCCAGATCATGAAGGAAATCAAGTCCTCTAAGTCCCCTGTACGCGATCCACTCTTCTTTGCGATCTTTCGGCTGATTCTAGCTTTCCCTTTTCTTCTTTTCTCTTATGAATGATGGGCGAACTCGCTTGGTGCATTTGAAGAGCCTTTCTTGATTAAATTTTCTTTTTGGCTTTTGTCCTTTTCGTGCCTGCAGGCAGTAATCAACTACGGCGCTTCTTGGTACGTTCCCAGCAAACATTTCTGTGTTCCCTTGTTGCCAAAAACCCGAGAATCAGTGTGCCGATGCTAGGTGGGCTTAAGGGTGATCAACGAGCACCATGTGTTCGATTTAATGCTCCTGAGATAAGCTGGCATGGCACGCTTGTCTCTCCTTCACTCTGCCATATACAGGGGTGGACTTAACGTAGGGAAAATAGAGGAGGGTCTGGCATTATAATGGATGGTTTGCTTTGCTCATGGCACTGGGTTTATTACAGTTTCTGGCCCTTTCTGTTTGACGATAGGTAGTAGGTGCACATTTATGATTTGTTTAGTCCTTGGTGCATAAGTGAGTTGTTTCGATCATTGTGAGAGAAAGCAAAGACGATCTTCTAGGTGAAAGTCTGTTCCTTAGACGATCACTACTGGTGCTTGCATTGCATCTGCATGGACAAAGGGTTTTACAAGGTGTATGATGCTAATTGTTGTTGCATTCCATATGTTGATGCATAATTCCATGGTTTGTTTGCTCAAAACTTGATGTTCGGCACGACTAGCTTGGTTCAAAGGGTTGATCAGGTTTTGTGATGTCACTTAGTAAATAAAAAATGTAATTTCTCAAACAACATTTAGTATCACTTCCTTATGCACGACTTATACTGTGTGGGTGCTTAAGCAGCAGTTTCTCGATGCCTCTCTTTTATTGCTTGTAAAAAATGATAGCGCTTACTTTAATGGACTGAATTCTTGGATAGAAAATTCTTTCACCTCCTTTTCAGGTGTCATGTGTGTAGCCAGATTCTCCCAGCTTTCTGCCAGTTGAGCAACAGCTTTCCGAAATTGTCATTTGTGTATGCGGATATTGACGAGTGCCCAGAAACGACGCAGCACATTCGCTACACACCTACCTTTCATTTCTTCCGTGATGGAGAAAGGGTGGATGAGATGTTTGGTGCCGGAGAAGAGCGACTCCATGATCGCTTGTGGCTGCATTCCTGAATGTCAAACTTGTTATGAATGTCTAATAGCAGGATTCTTTTGTAGTCATGTTTCTTATAAAACATATCTATAGTTCAGCAGATTATGATGAGTATTTGATGCAAGTACTGATTCTTAAGAATGGCAAAGATTAGCTTTCACCTCATGCATTAATGATATGTTAACCAGAATTAGTTGCATTGAATTGCTGCCACCTGCTAAATGCAAGAATATATAGAATCACATTGTCATTTTTTCTCAATCACAATGTACGGTAGACATTCTGATCGGTAATTTTGATGTAGGCAATATTTGTGCGCACATATTTGTTTGCTCAACATGCTTTGACCTTGATGGTAGCATTTGCTTCATCCTGAAAACTTATTCTTGTTACTTATGTAATACATCTGTATTTCCAATGGAGCATTCTTCTCAGTAAATTGGAGTAGTTTTCGCAGTGATGAAGACGGTGAAGAACAGATGGTCATGTGGCACCGATGCTTCTAGTTGCCTCAACTGAAGAGTATTGTTTCACTTGGGCACATCTCCCGTCTTTCTTTATGCGGTTAACAACCGATATACATCTGAATCATTTGTTGACCTTATCAATGAACGATGATGGAAAAAAAAATGCAAATCCTTTTTATAATTTTAAGAGTTATTATTGAAAACCTACTGAAATGTAACCTATTTTACAGACGTAAGAACGTGACTTTGGGATCAAATTTTGCATTGGAGCTACTTCTTTGATTTAGTACATTATCGGACGGTTAATTAACCGTTTTGTGCAATGTGCATCAACACTCAGCCGAATAATGTTAGCTCTGCATCGGTTTATTCTGCCCTTTGTCTATCAGCATTTGCTTATGCTTTCTGTTTTGCCATGGGAAGAACACAACAGAAAAACAGAACAAACGCTTTGTGTAGAAACAACTTCTCATTCTTTGCTTTCCGTCCATCTCCAATTTTGATACAATATCTATGACTAAAAACATCCTAGAAAGAGGTATAATGTAACCGGGCATGTATATGTCGACGATTAGAAGCTGAGGCCAAGTCGAAGTCCAAGGGCGGCATGAATGAGAAACAGAGTCATGATCCCGCTACCCAAGATCCCATGGACATTTCTTAATCCTGGATTACCCTGCATATCGCAACACGGATGCAAATGATCAGAGGAAATACTAATTCGAGAAGTTGACGATGAACGTCAGCATCATAATTAACAATTAACCGGAATGTGGACCGGCATTCAATTCGTTACCTCAAACAAGGAAGGTAACACTGTCTGAACAGTCAAAAGTGTTAGGCCTATGAATCCTGTGACAGCATGAGGACTGTAAACGACAACATCGCAGTCAGTGAACATAGAGGGAGAGAAGATAGAGAGCAAGAATTGAGTGTAAGTCAACAATCCCATGGTAACAACTTAGAAACTGAAGAAATTTTCTGTAAGCAGAAGATGAACGCATGATTTAAGTTGTGAGAGCACCTCTCGAATATAGGTTTGTCTGAGGTGAGTAGAGCTGTCACACCACCGGTTGCACCAAGAGCAAAGAAGAAAAACATTCCACCGAGAAGCTTCGGGTGCAAGTCTTTTGCCTTGGCCTTCTCTTCCTGAGATAAACGGTATGTCCAGGGCAGCTGAAATACTCAGAGGCAGCCATTGATTTCAGTAGACAAGTAAAGAAAGTCTTACTGGAGTCTCACCACATCATCGGAAAATTTAATACGAAAACCAAGATATGTTCCGTATCCGCCCATTGCAAAGAGCACGACAGCCTAAAATGTTACAACAGAATCATTTCAGAATCACTAAGTGAGCATCTTCTGGAAATTTAGAGTAAACATTCGGCGAAACCAGGCCTTCCTAGGAGGTAAGAGAAAGGATGAACTGTTACCATATTGCCTGGGTGACCCCAATGCACAAGCCAATCAGGGAGACTCAAGGTTTTAACAAGCTCAACGAAAGGCCCAAACAGAGATCTCACTGTCCCAGCTGTTATGAATCATAGCCATGCGAGCAATAGATCAGCAACACGAATGCAAGAGATCCAATAAATTGCAATCAGCAAGATGCGAGGCATTGGATGGAAAACAGCAAAATTAAATGTGATGCAGCCAGGCGCTTGATGCATTGCGACAGACTGCATTACGCAGAGAGCATTTGAACCTGTTCGATAAGTAGTTTAGAGAGACATATGTAATACACTGTTTGAAGCACAGTTAAGAGTCCTACATCACGGAAAATGGGATAGAAAGAACGCACGGTAACTAATAAAATCAAGCAAAGTCCACAAAGCTAACAGAATCTCCAGTTCTTTGTCCCTCATATTCTCGTACTTCTTCGTTATCAACAAAATCGTGCCAAGTAATAAGCAGTGGAAATGTTAAACTAGATTGTGTCAAGAGAGGGGTCAACATGTCAAGATAATTGGAAATCACAGCTGATTATAGCCTTTCCCCGATTCGGATGAGAAGGGTTGTAGCACTGTTTAAGCTGCTTTAGGCCAGCTAATGGATGGGCAAAATGACAGAGTAAAGCAGGGAGACTCAACCGATCCAAGAGCTTGAAATGATCGAGAGCAAAAGATCATTTAGATGGTAATAAACAAAAGAACCACCCAGCAGTAGCTATGCCAAACATGACAGAAAAATTTATCTGTACAGGTTTAGAAGTACCGAAACCGGAAAAACACAGCAAAACCGAGAGAAGAACGATCGGGACATTTGAGAACTCTGAAACGAGAGAAAACACTGCATTGGAGTGACAAAAAGATACACAAGTTGGTTTAGAATTGGCCAAACCAAATGCAATCCGAACCCAAGTGAGAAAGAGCACAATCTCCTACTTAACGTAGTGCATTTCGTTAGAATGTCCGCTGTTCAAGCAACTGAAACACTCCCTTCACAGAGAGAGAGAGAGAGAGAGAGAGAGAGAGAGAGAGAGAGAGAGAGAGAGAGAGAGGGAGATGAATTACCTCCAGGAAGCGCAGTGAGGAAGAGGAGGGGAAGAGGAGAGAAGGAGCAGAGGAGAGTCCCGCCGGGCCTGTCCGCCGTTCCGTCCATGTCGAAGTTGGCATCGGTGATGGGTTCGCGAGCCTCGTCCTTGGAAGCCGAGGACGTGCCGGGGAGGAGAGCTCTCTTGGCCTCAGTCCTGGATACAGCACAACCCGGGAACGGAGGAGTCGACAGCTGCAGTCGGGTATTGACGGGATGCGACGAGGATGGAGAGTGCAGAGGAAGGAGACGTCGCGGGGGTGTGTTGGAGCAGCAGCAGCGAAGAAGACCAGCTGCAGAATTCACCATCGCCATTGACAAAAGTGCTACGCAACACACCCAACGCAGACTCTTTCACTCTCTCTCTCAGCACACGCTGGAGAGTTTTGAGGTAGAGATGGGGTGGGAAAGGTGAGGAAAGGGACACGCTTGTGATGCGAGCACATACCACTTCACCAGTAATCACAAGCACACGCTCCTCCCTGCCAACCCGATGTCTTTTGGAGTCATCTCTTACGGTTCTTTTTTCACGCAATGGTGACCTGACGTTTTAAGAGTCTTGCATGGCTAACATCTTATTACTGAAAGTTTTGCAACTTGTGCAAAAATAAAAGATCAAGTCCGTTTGTTCCGCCGAAAGATGAACGATTTGAAAAATAAAAGATCACGATTGGGGTATGTTATTGGCTTTCCATCGCTAGCGTTATTATGTAGCTTAATTTTACAATTAAGTCAGAATCATGATCCGCATAATCACAAATCAAAAAATCACATCTTTTTGAGGAACGCATGCGGTCGAAGTTTCCAATTTGGTAATCCGAGGAAACTCCCCAGATTGCGGGAGCTAAGGGGAAGAAAGCGCCCTCGAACGATGGAAGCATTTTGTCCATACGTTTCATGCAAAACAAATGCATAGTCGACGTTCTCTCCTCTGGAATTTGCTACATTTCTATATCTCTGCCACAACGCTCTCAGTTTTCATCTCTTTGCCTTTCCTCTTGCAAATTTGACGTCAGATTATTGCTATGAAGTGAAAAATTTTACTGCTATAGAAAGGTTCCACATATACAAGCTTCCACTGATAATCCTGCGTGTGATGGACTGTACATGCTTACGCAGTCCAACGCTTTGCTAACCAAAACGCAGATGCCTCTGCCTCCACCCCCGTGTCTCAGACAGTTGATATTCACTTAGAGCATGACATGCTCTGCATCACTACCCAGGCCCTCATCCTGCACAGAGAAATGGCTGTGCAAATCCAAACAGCCATATGATCCTGCCCGTCTTGTCGTCTTCACGAATAAAGGCACCTTGACCAAGTTGCCCCACTGTGCAAGAATGATTCAACCGTCGTCCATCAGCAACCCTTCAGTCGCTCTGCAGTTCTGCGTTGATGGGGCAGTAGAAGAAATACAGTTAGAATAAGAACCAGCTATTTAGAGAAGTGATGCAGATACAGAGTATGTGGTGAGTATATCGTGACGTTAGGCTTCACACAATTGTCATATGAGTGATTCTCTTGACTCAGTGAGAGAAGGTTATGTTAAAAAGGGCCCTATTAACAGCATACTTTAATTAGAATGATTCGATTTTTAAAGTATTGATTTTGTATCACAAGTGCATTGGAAACTGCAAAGTTTCCTTAAATTGATTGTGGACACTAGTTATCAAAATTCATGTTAAAATGTAAATAAATACTTCTTCTGGATAGATGATCCTACCTCTCTGTGGGGCAAATATCTTAAGTAGAATCACAAACAATACGAGCAAATAGGGTTCCTATGAAGTAGATTCCGAAGCAGGTTATGCATGCTAGATGCTAAATCCATGTATAACGCGTGTTGACAGATATACTCACTATACCACAGAAGCGGGCATGTGAACGGATATGAAGCTCAAATGCCAGCCTCGACCATATCATCTATCGACTTGAAGGACATTGTTACATATTGTACCCCGTGTAACTGACTCCTTTTGGGGATCAATCCTCCACTCGCCGTCAACTATGAATTTTATCTGCAACAAAATAAAGTTATGAGAATGGCATTAAGGATTTATCTCCTGGCAGCAGAAAAATGTACACAGACGGAACTTGTTCCATGCCTCATATGTCCCAGGGTAAAGCCACAGCATTGTGGACCAATATCTAGATCTCCTGCAAGAAGCATGAAACCACAAACAGATCCATGGTTCAATTGAAAAATAGGGAGATTAATTGGATCTGATTCTGAGATTGAGACTGCCATAGTGCATACACCATCAAATTTCAAAGGCAGTACTAGTCTTCTCCAAGAAATTGACAATGAAAAACTTGTGCTCTTAATGCATGTAGACATAGAGCTGTTGAGTTGACTATTAGCTATATATTATCTCATAATAGAAGGAAATAAACAGTTCGCAAAAGCCGCATCAATATGCAGAGCATTAAGAAGTTTGAACAACTACCTTCTTTCGCGACCTACTACTTTGACAAATCATCTAGCTGCCTTCACTCTACCAACTTTCCACCATTACAGAAAATAAGTGAAATAGAGGTAATGCTCCCCAATTCTTGTGTATTCGCAGGTTTGCACAATAGGGCAAAACCATCAGGGACAAAGTAGCACCAAAACAGAGGAAAACATGTTTACATGAATGATTGCCAATTAAATAGATATTAACTACTTTTAAGTATTTTCAAAAGTTGTATGGTCCTAAGAAGTCAAAGTTGCTCTTGAGATGCTCCAGAATAAGTGCTTAAACATTTAGGTCAAATAATATGAAGGTTACAATTTATTGCCTGTAAAAACAATGAAGTTTTTGAGCTTAGTGTAGAAAGAACAAAACCTATGTGGAAAAGCATGTTCCAGGCATCACATCTCATGGGAAAGAAAAAAAAAAACAAAGAGTCAGAAGGGATCGATAAACAAATTAACTGATCATTCTCATAAACTTGATCAGAGGAGCAGATACTAGACCTTGATCCAATAGTGTCTTTTGCAGTAGCGAATGGATGGGGATTCATTTTAATCGGGTGATGCCAGCCGTTGAAGCTACCAGCCACCTCCACGATATCACCGTTGCCAGAATACTCTATCTGAACCTGATAAGACGACAAAAACTTATTAGTGTCAACCCCGTCTAGGCTGACGAACTATGGCTAAACTGAAACATATACAAGCTTATGAGCGTGATCCTCTCACATTGTCATTGTAACAAAACTGAAGAATCTCTCTCTCTCTCTCATATCTAATCATTGGAAGCAGCTCCTGGTACTACCTAGTAACCTTAGACAAAATATTTCAGCTGCTTTAAATTCATGGGGAATTGCATATGCAATAAGAGCAAATTATTCAATGAATTAGCAACGCTTGAGAGACAGATGACCTATATATATCCATGTATGTCAAGTGCAATCACATCCCTTTACAAGTACCCTTCCATGTTGTAAATTTTGACGTACACCTACCACTCCCACCATATGTTTCGATAATCATCCTTGTTTTCAACTTCTATCAGACATCTTCTTGAAATTCAAATTACTTTTCCTTCTCTGGATGAGAGAACCAGCATAAACAAGAAGTAACTTCCTTGTACCTACAAACAGGGTTTCATGTAAGCTGAATGACCTAATTTGCCAGTGTCCTCATGAAAATATCAGAATGTCAGTATGGCACGTCCAATCCATACATTACTTTGTTGAAGGGGCAACCATTGAACCTAATGTCTCCTCTCACACACATTCTCCTCAAAAGCAACTAACCACCAATTCTGACACTTTCAGATGCAATTCATTTAGCTTTGGCTTTGATGTCCTTGGGAAGACTAACAAAAAATTGGGTAGAAAAAGAAGAAAACCAGTATATTTTGTGAAAGGACATTACAACTATCAGGTGAAGCCATTTCCATAATTCAAATTTTTATAATATGATAAGGTGCCTCTTATATAAACAGCATCCATGTTAATCAAACCAATATCTAAAAGATTTCCTTGGAATAGCATTCCCTAAAGCTGTTGGAGTTGACTAAAATGGAGTGAACAAACTCAGACAAACTTCCAGGCACTAACAGTCAATTGCCAAACATCAAAGGCTAACAAATAATCACATAGATATGTACGATACTTCTTTAAGCCCGGAAAGGCTCTCCTCAGCAGCCTGTAGTTCTGCATCTTTTTCTGAGACGATCTTTTGGGCTTTGCTGATCTCATTCTCAGCCTTAGTTTGCAACATTTCCAGAGCAAGCTGAAGGTACAATAAAAAGCCAAAATTTGAGTAATAGAAGCAGAGAGACAACAATATATATCAATAATTAGGAAAAAAACGTTACAAATTTAGCATTCTATAATGCATCTAGGATACAGTGAACGTTGACAGAAACCTTGAATTGATATGTATGCCTGAAGTACTTGAGCTGATCCCAGAAGGAGTACTCAAGATTTGGCTTTACCAGTTTGTTAGGATTATGCAAGAAAGTTAACTTTTCTCATTGAGAACTATAGTAGAACAGTCGAAGTACCTTTTCCTTTTCATTCTGTTCCTTCAACAGAGACAATTCCAATTCCTTCTGATGCTACAGCAACAAGATCCAATCAACATTTTCAAATATTGAGCTTATGTTCCCTATCCATTCACCCTAGAAAACTTCTTTGGAAATTCCTAAAAAAAATGGCACAGAGACAAGTACCAGCATAAATTTGAGATGACTAATCTCAGCTTGGTTCTCCTGCTTTCTTCTCTGCATTAGAGGCATGAACCAGCATAAGTGTCTGCACTATTGATCACATTTTTGTTGTATATTGAACAAATGAATGAGTGTTTAACATACTGACCTCCTCATCCAAATTGTTGCCCACATCAGCATCAAACAATTCTTCAACTGATGACTCACTGTACCTACAAATACTCAATTTTAATAATCAGCCCAATTAGAGGATATAAAGTTTATGACAAAGCGATAGAAGAGTAAGAAAGTAACCACTTTGCACATTATGCATGACTTTCCCGATCTCCAAATTTCTCAACAAGAAGTCTACAATCATTATAAGGACTGATAAAATCTGTAATCAAACTAACAATAAAACCCCAATTTTTGTGGTAAGCACAAGTGAAAATTGTGATGTTAATCCCACCATGAAGAAAAAATTCTGTACAAGCAGAAGCAAAGCATTTAAATTACTTCGTGAAATCTACAACACCACAAGAATTCAGTCTGTAGTCTAATAGCAATTTTTTCCCACATCTGTCAACTGATTGACCCATAAACCCCTACTTCATTAGATCGAGAAAAATCTATCCGACCTTCTAGAATAAAATGAGCTAATAATTCTAACCTGAAAGGAGAATGTACTTTTGCAGGAGAGAACTGTCTAGCTGTACTAATATGAGGTGTCATGGCACCATTGCTTTCCCCATGTGCATGTTCTGACTGCTCCCCATTTTGGGTCTCCAGCTGAAGCTCTGTACCTGGCTTACTCATATCGGACTCAGTGAAACTCTGGTTTTCTTCATCATCAATCTCAGTGGGTACTTCAGGTAGTTGATCTGCAGAGCCAGAGTCAGCTTAAAATTTATGAAAATTAATGATATCTAGGAACAAGCAAAATGTAAGATTTTCCATCCCAGATTATTGCATAGATATTTACTAGCAGCAATTATACTTCTCTTAAAGAATCTGGAAAGATGTGAACGTCACAAATGTAAAGATAGAACACCAACACTAATAAACATAGTGTCATGAGGAATTTCACTGTCACAGAATTGAGGTAAAAATGAACAGAGAAATATGGCATAACAGACTACAGAACCAGAGAAATATAATGAGGAGAAAAGGATCAGCGACTTTGTTTCCATGGAAACAACCGAGCGGGACTATTGCCTTTTTTTTTTTCTTTTTTAGCATGATATCTATAAATAAAGTCATGTCTCACAGCAAAAGAATACTTGATTCCAGGGACTCTACTATGAAATGGGTGTTTTTAGATTCTCAGTAACAAGACAGACAGTAACATGCTAATGCTTGAATAATGTGCGACTTTCAATCTCAATTTGGTAAGCATTGCGACAAAGTTTAGACTAAATGCTGTCATCACTTTGTTTCCTACATTACTCCAGTCTGCAACTTACAAATACCCCTGGGCAAAAGAACCAACTCTGAGTTAAAGAGCAGTTCAGGAAGCCTGGAATATCTACGGTATAGGATATGCGAGCATTCTGCAATCAAGAATTCATAATGAGCTGAATGTGTGAGTCTATATATATCAAATAACCCGTGCAACTCTTTGAATCTCTAGGATCTTGACCCTTATGAACTACCCTTGCTACAGCATGGTACCAATCTGTGTTTTTTCCCATAATATATAGAACCATTTTAAATAGTCTCGAGCACAATTCCTCATGTTGCTCCTCAAGCCTCATACAATGAAAGCAAATCATGCAACAATGGTATGAAGAGAACATTTGTTAGTTATGGGAATTACCTTCAACTGGTTCAAGATACCCATCTTGCATAAATTTTGCTACCTTCTCCTCCAAGGATGGCTTAGCACATGGTTCAACACATGTATAACCATGATCGTAAGAATTGGTCAAGGATGTCTCCTCAGAAGTAGTGCTAATCCATTCAAAGTGACCTAATGAAGTAGTAGATTCCTTGGCCGCTGTGACCAAGTTAGTAGAAGTTTCAACTGGCATGAAGGTATTGCTATTAAAGGAGTTCTCTGGCTCCCCATCTACACTAGCAGAGATTTCATCCACAATTGAAGTTCCCATAGATGAAGGAGTATCTTCAATCATACTTTTCAACATGTCCTGTGCGGTATTATCTTTCATAGACAGACTAAAGGGAGTTTCAATGTGCATGTTGCTATTGCCAGCAATGTCAGATGATGAATTAATATCAAGCTCATCAAAGCAGTCTTCCTCGACAGATATTCCAACAGATACAGAATTTTCTTCATCCAAATAGCCAGTACTCTCATTCTGACCTTTTAGATTACAAAATGCTATCAGAACAAAAAAGACCGACATTAGATAGCAAAAAGGTAAGAAAATTGTGAAGGAAGCTTACCTTCTGATCCTTCTTCATTGGCAATGGTAGCTTCCTTTTCTTCAGCTATGCTTGTCTCCCTATCAGATACATAGACTTTCATTTCTACTGAGTTCGCAAGAAGCTCTCTAATGAGTTTGTAACCCCTCCTTCTAATAATATATGCAAGGTCATCCCTGTCCAATATCAGGTCCAATTAAACAATCCTGAATCAAAACTCTTCACTCAGAAAGAGTACGCTAACATATGTAGCTTTAGCTTACATTATTTAGTTCAATGCACAAGAAAAGGGATTGAAAAAGAATGCGCACCAATTGTGTTTTGAGACTAACAGTCATACCCAGATGTTCATTTTTTAAAGATATAAGGAACCAGGCATTCATGAGGAACATAAAAGAAAGGTAGCATCAGCAATTCCAATGAATTAAACTTTGATCTGGCAAAACCACACAATTCAGACCAATTACCAATTCATTTTTTATCCAATTGCAGGTAAAACTGACAACTCGGCACTAATCAGATGGTAGGCAATCATTTAATTTATATGAAAGTGTCATCCCTTCAAAAATTCGGCATTTTATAACAGTGAGCACAGCTGCAATGATCTATAGCACCTATATCCTGGACCAAATCAATGTGCAGGGGGAAGCTTGCTTAAGCATTTCCAAAGGGGCACAAAAAGATATGACAAAAACCTCGCATTTAACATCAACCCCTCCAGCTCTTAAAAACATTATTGCTTATAATATGAGAGTCTATGCATGAGGTACTTGAACTCCTCCTCAAGGTGGCAAAAAGTTTCAATATTCCATCCTACAGTGCATACACATTATTCCAATTCAAAGGAAAATTGTGCGCGCTTAATTTTTTACACAAGCCGGGCTCCCAACTTTTACGATTCTGCAATTGCCCGCGCACCTTATCTCGATGCCAACCAAAGCAAATCCCAGAGCAAGCAATCAATCAGTAAGTAGAGACACACACACACACACACGAGAAATTTGCTGACCTTCCATGCTGCAAAAGCTCCTTTATGGACGGAACATGACCGTCAGGAAGCCCCGCGGAAGCTAAGAATTCCTTTACATCATTGCATAGCTCCACATTGCTCTTCGTCTTCCTACCGGACCTTGAGCGCGAAAAGCCGACAGACAATCAGCACGGCTCGGAGCAATCACTCGCATCGATGTAGAACCGAAAAGCAACAGAAGGAAAATCGACCGAAGAGAATCGGGCGGCACGAAACCTGGACTTCCCGGCGGAAGCGACGCAGACGGCGGAGCGCCGACCGGGAGAGCAGCCCCGGGAGAGGAAGCGAAGCTCGCGGCGGTGGAGGCGGTAGGGGAAGAAGAGCCTATGAGGAGAGAGAGAGGAGGAGGGGCAGGTCGCGAGGTGAGGGAGAGGAGCGGCCATGGGAGAGCGGAGAGGGAGCTTACAAGATGTACACTCGTGTAAGACATAATATGTGTGCTTAATAATCAGGTAATTAGCGGTTGAAATATCATATATGATAAGGTAAAAGTGTTTAGAATTTCAAACTGAACTATACATTATATAACTATAAAAACTATTGTATAGTAATATCATATTTATCATGTAAAATATCCTTAAATCAAATTCTCTGATAACATATATTCTTAGAAGAGTGGCTTTACAAGTAGAATACAGGTAATTCGTATAGCAGTGATGGTATTGACAATGTAAAATCTAACAAAAAAAAATTACATATGATATAACTATGAGAAATAACTTAAACGAATTAATAAATTCTTTTAATGATGAAACCCTCTCGTGAAGAAATCGATCCCGTCGCTATGTGATTTTCAACTCATTGTGCCATAAGAAGGCCATACTTGTAGGGTTTCTTTAATTATTTGAGATATCTAACAAAAATAAAATTACATATGATATAACTATGAGAAATACTTAAACGAATTAATAAATTCTTTTAATGATGAAACCCTCCCATGAAGAAATTGATCCCGTCGCTATGTGATTTTCAACTCATTGTGCCATAAGAAGGCCATACTTATAGGGTTTCTTTAATTATTTGAGATATTTTTTTGGTCGAAATTATTTGAGATATAAGAAATTGTCAAAAGCCACCTAAATTCTTACGTGGCGAGAAGTGTTCTCAACATAATATATCATATAACAGGACATATTAGATTTATATTATAAGTAATATCTTTTTTATTAATAACTGCCATTGTTCCAGTGTGAAGTCAGTTGCCTTGTTCTATAAAACAGAATGACCGAAGTTTCATGTAATTAAACAATTGTAAGTTTAATTATTATGTAAATTATGAAAAATCTTTATTTTTTGAGAAAGTGTACATCTGGTAATTAATTTAGTGACCATTACGTTTTATACAAAAATGTATAATACGAATATGTGTTAATCGTTTAGGTAATTGGGACATTCAACTAGGTTGTGCTTTCAAAAAGGCAAGCTTTTAGATTTTCGCTTAATTGCTTACGATATCGAAATTGAAACTTAGTAAAAGCTAGCTAGATGCTTTCATGCAAAAAAATGCTTCTAATAAATAAAAGGGAAAATAAAAATAATTGTTCATGAACTTTGACCCAATATGCAATGTGGTTCCTAAATTTCTAATTTATTCAATGCGGTCCCTGAACTTTAGCCCAATATACAATGTAGTTCATAAATTTTTAATTTGTTCAATACGATCTCTAAACTTTTGGTACATGTTCAATTTCGTCTATGGACTATATGAAAATGTTTAGTGTTGTCCCTAATTTTGAATTGATGGAAAGACGACTTTGAACATTTCACAATATGTATCAAAAGTTCAGGGACTAAATTGAACAAATTAAAAGTTTGTGGATCACATTGCATATTGGGCTAAATTTCATGTACCACATTGAACAAATTAAATGTTCAATGACCACATTGTATATTGGCACAAAGTTGGGGGACCGTTTGTGTCATTATCCCTAAATAAAAAAGATGGAAAGAACCAAGTCTGAAAGAACCCGATTTTTCTAATGCCGAGGTCCGATCCAATTCACAACTGAATTTAACCAAATCGCAAGTGAACTACAATCCGATGTAACTCGCACCCCATGTAAAATTGAAACAAAAATATAACCTGAATTCAAGAGTATCCATACTAGATGTTGTCTGAAAAACCAACTAGCATAGACATGATTCAAATTCAACTGGCCAAAAAGAAGGTAACTTGCCTTCGATTTTCTTTTCGATAGCTTTCGTAAGCAATACTATATAAAATAAAATAAAAACAAACGGTCGCGTTTTTTTCACTCCTCCAATGGTTAAGACACTTTAACCCAAAAAAAAAAACGATTAAGACACTCCCTTTTTTGTTGTTTTGACCACCTTATTCCTTGTGGGGCCCATCACTTATGCGACAGTTCTATTTGATTCATTTTTTATTGTTTGGTCAACTCTTTTTATTTTGTTTCTTTTTTTTTTTCCATACAGGTCCCAGTTTCCTTCTTCTTCTTTCTTTCCACGCCTCCCGCTCGTTTCTCTATTTTCTCTCTTGCAGGCCCCTGTCGCGCCGCGCTTTTTTTTTTGGAAATTTCGGGATTTGCGTGCTAAGGAGGTATTTCCGTGCAAGAGTCTCTCTCAGACCATACCTCACGTGACAGTGGATGGTAATTTCCTATTTGATCTAAGTTTTTGATTTTGGAGTCGCCACTAGTCATTATTGGCAGGTCGACTAGAAACCTAATCGGGGTATGGGAGAAATACCACGATTCTACGAACCAGAGATTCTGAGTACGGGGACTTGGTTACGCTAATGATCCCAAATTTAGATCCCTAACGCCCTTTCGGTACCTAAGAACGATACGATGTCTAACGTGTCTTGCAAGTTTCCGAAACTTACCCACTAATTCTATCCATTCTAATTGCGGGGAAAATCAATCAAGAATTAAATGCGCAATCAATGTCAATCAAATCAATCAATCCTAAATTGTCTCTAAAAATGAAAATCAATCAAAACATCCAAACCCTAATGAAGCCCTAGAGGCTTGTTCATTTTATGATTTGTGTCTTTTTTAGGGTTTTAGGGTTTTTTAGGGGTTATAACCCCAGAATTTGAGATTTTCTAAAAATGCCACTTGGGTACTTTCAAAAATTCAAATTTCACTTTCCAAGGTTGGCCACAGTGTTTTTGAATCATTCTGTGAATTTTTTAAATTTTTGATTTTTTTTTTCGGAAATTAAATTTATGAGGATTTCATTAACCGAGAATTGATTTTTATGAATTTTTGAACATTTTTATTAATTTTCGAACTTTCCAACTTTTTTAGATTTTTCTGAATTTTTCACATTTTTTATTTGTATTTTTAGAATTTTCTATATTTTTATGAATTTTCTAAATTTTTTTGAATTTTTATGAAATTTTCTAATTTTCTAGAATTTTTCCGAATTTCTGAAATTTTTTATTTATTTTTCTGATTTTTTATTTTGTTTTTGTTTTTTTTTTAAATTTTTAGATTTTTTAGATTTTTTTATTATTTTTTAATTTTTCCCGCCGAAGTGGTGAACCGGACCAGCCCGGTTCAACCTGGGCGTCGCCGGCGCCGGCGCCAGTCATCTTCTCCGGCGGATACGATGCCCAAAACGGCACCATTTTGACTCAATTTCTTTGGGGCATTTCCCCGAGCACCTGGTGGGCATGATCTCTTGTTTTGGATTATCAAGGCCGCGACTTCGGATCGTACTCCGACAAGCTTCCGGTGACCTTCCGTTCATATTTTTAAGGTTTTGTATTGAGTCTTCATCGTCCTCTAGCCATCTAACTTAGTCGGTTCATTACCAGACCACCGCCGGCCGGTGAAAATCGATCCCAAAGGTCCTAAAACTGATCAAGACCAACTTCTCTGACTTTCACATCATCACATAATCCTCTCTAACCGTCTACATCGATCAGAATCAAAATCAAAACATCAAGCAAGGTCTGTAGTTACTAACTTGAGCGGCCATTGGCCGCAGGAGGTACTCCGACGAGGCTCGAGAACTTCGGTGAGGGTTTTCAATGATGGATTGACTCGGTTTATCCCATTTAACAACCCAAATGCAATCAAACAATACAAAATTTGATCAGAAACATATTCTGAGCATTAAGAAACTCAAAATCATAAAAAAATTACAAGATCAAGCACGGTAAAGCTCAAACACATAATCTGGAATTTTGTAAAAACCGTGATCATGACTGAACTTTACCTGTCTCGTTGAGTGATCAAATGATGTTTCTAGTGCAATCCTCGATCATGAAGCTCTTCCTCAGTACTTAGACTTCAATCTGGTGACTTCGGCTTCGTCGGAGACTGTCTGAACATGCTGGCCGAGCTCGACTTTCAAGCTCAGTCGACCAGCTTCGGGCCGACTGTTCCAGGTGAGGAGGCTCACCACCTGGGCCGATTTGCCGGCGCTTTTCTCGCCGGAAAAGCGCCGATCGCTTGGTCCGGGAAGCCTCAACTCCCTCTCTCTCTCTAGAAAACTCTCTTTCTCCTCTGTTTCTCTCTCTTCTCTCTCTCTGGCATTTCACCGAGCACACCCTCTTCAATGTTCAGTTTTTTCTTCATTTTTGTAGCTCGATTTCCCGACCAAAGTTGGTTATCACCGACCTCCAAATTGGTTGTAACGAATCTCCGATGCCAGCTGGAGATTGTCCAGCTGGAATCTAAGTTTTTCATGTGTTAAATTGTTCAGATTAAGTCGGCAAAGTCACAGGTTTGAATCGTTTTTCTCTGGGCTTATTGTGCATTTTGGGTGAGTCGGGCGAAGAAGACAGGTCGCCGGGTCGGGTCGGGTCGGGTCGACCCGGAAGTCCCAGTTTTGGCTAAAAATTCAAATTGAGCTCGATTTTGACCCAATTTTTCAAATTAAATCCCAAAATTGAATTCCTCATAACATTCTAAACCAAAATATATAATTTTCCCCAATTTTTGATAAAATCATGTCCAGGATTTTCGAACTTTTGTATTCGGGTTATTGGGGCTTTGTTTAATTCGGTGTCTTAATGACCTGATTAGGTAAAATTAGTGTCAAAATTGAAGTACCCACATCTGATTATCCCTATAAATGATCATCTCATGGTTCGAAAATTTCGAATTGGGCACGATTCCCAATTTGGGCTTAAAATTCCTAATTCTCAATTAAATTTTGGGGATTTTTTATTTCTTTGACAAATTGTGCAATTGGACTGACCATCATGTAATTCAAGGTTCCAGAATCATTTGTTGTGAAGACACTATGACTTAAAAATGACTAGAAAAGATTTAATTGCATTTTTGGTTCAATTCGGGTTTGATTTTGCCCAATTTTGGGAAAAACACATACCCGATTGATATTTTTCAAAATTGATGATGCATTAATGAAATTAGATTTAAAAGAAGACTAATGAATATTTTTATGGAATTT